GGAACGATGACGTTTAGGTTGAGGACCAGGGGAAAACGAGGCAATGACTCCGAGAACTCCCTCTTCGGTTTGGTTCGAGCAGAGTATTTATTTCAGAGATTGGGCTTTTGGTCTTTGCTGGCTTCTATACTGCTCCCCTCTTGCTTTTTGATTTGTTTTTTTTCGATGGGTTCGAATCTCACCACTGTTTTTGCTCGGTATTCCTCCTTTGTATCCCCAGTAATCGTGTATTTGCTTTCCCTTTTCTTTTTTTTTGTGTCTTGATACATGGGTATTTATAGGATTATGTGAATCCTATTTTTTTTAGGAGTTTACATCCTAATGAAATACTAACATTTGGTTCGTTCGTGTTTGTTGGTGACTCTCCACGCTCGTCGGATGGTTCGGGGTTGGAGTCCTATTATCTCACGATGCTTGTTACCGAGAAGAATAGGGGAGGCGTGAAACTCGGTCTGTTGGAACTGCCGCGCGACGATGTGGGGGGATCTGCTAGGGTTCTGGAAACTAGCTTGGTTCGTGGGTCCAATGCTGCTTCGGGCCATTTATTCCTTCTTTGGCCACTGGTTTAAGTTGTGGGGCACCTTCACTTGGGCCTGTAATATGTAAACAATAAAAGTAAATAACATTAATACTAATATATATATATATATATGTAAATATTATAAAATTGCAGAGACGAAATTATGTGTCTACACCTACCAAGTATTATTTTTATGCAAGAACAAGAAGATTTCAATGGCTAGAGAAATATTTGTTATCTTTAAAGAATTTCAACATCAATGATTATAAGATATTTAAGTTTTTATTGTAAAATAATTGAAAGTCTTGAAAACAGATATTATCACTTGTAATTATTCTAGATTATAACAAAAATGTTATTTTCATTGGAGGTTTTGGATTCAAACAATTAAGTTGTGTCTCTGGATATGTGTTCTCAATAATTAAAAAATTCTGAACAATATTATCATATAATCACTTTTGATTATTCAAAAAAATATCACTTAATTTATTAAGTTTTTGTATGTAAATCAATTTGTAAAACAAAGGATAAATCAAGTGGATGACCTTTATGAGTTGCAAAATGTACTTGGTTAGTATAAATGAGTTATAGAGTTTAGGAAATGAGTGCAGGAGTGGTATACAAACTTGAAATTAACTGATTTTGATTTAATTTAATTTAATAGATGTATCTTTTAAAATTTGAGTCCAAGGTAGTTTGAAGTTTATATAGACAAAATTGTTATCTATAATTGTACAAACAAAATTATAAAACTAGAATTGATAGGTGAAGCCATGTAACTTATTGTTGTTGATAGCATTGTGAGAATAAGTCCTAGGGTCGTAGACTAACTTTGTAATTGATTATGTTCACGTGAGGTATACTAATGGATATTGATAAGCATGATAACTTGAGTGATGATGATACATGTTTAGATTCGTGTGTTTAAACTTATACTTGCATACAATATGTTTATATTTACGAATTGCATGAAGTAGAATAGAGTGGAAGTATGTCATTAAGCTTGTAAGACTTAGTGTTTAGATGTTTTCGTTCGTTACTCGTAAGTCGATTACATTCGTCTCTGAGGAGCGCCATTTCTGAGGGATTTTCAACCCCTCTTTCTAGAGTACAATTTTCGATTTACATTAGTGGACATATGTATTCAAGGATTTTGCTAGAATTTCGATTCATAATCTCTAATATTATTTTTTATTTTGATTGATATACTGTCAAATTAAAAAAAATGTCATATTCCAAGCTCATGTTTTGCATAGAACATTTCTAATCATTTTGTTTCAATGCTACCAGTGTGGATATTTTGAAGAGTGTTAAACATATTAGACAATTTAAGGCTTTTCAATTTGGAGGTCATTTAGGTGACCCAATTTGGCATTCTAAACCTTTAGATCGTATGAGTCGAGTTTAAGATGTTAAATTTAATCATATTAAAATTCAACTTTAGTTGATCTTAAGATCAGTGCGCCATCATTAATAAGGTATCAATGGATGCATGACCCTAAGTTAAGAATATACTCATCTAAAACTGGAAATTTGTTGGTGTTTCCTTTTTTGTGTCAAATTTATAAATTTGGTGTGTCATAGGACTTAAGTCAGAGTGTGATTGGGACAGTCAAGGATCAAACTGCTTACTCCAACATTGGTAAGAATGATCTTATCTATGAGATAAGGAAAATATTCACAAGTTAATGAAAGAAATAATCATGGAAGGTTGATAGAGACGAGTACATGCAAATATAAGATTAGAGTGCGAAGTTAGTAATGGGTTGCATGAGATGAGATATGTAACCCCTAGATCCGACCTATGCGTTATGACCAGATCTAGCGGACTACGATAAAGTTTTCCAAAACATTTTCAATAATTTAAAACCATATTCCGAATAAACATCTTTAAAAATATATTTGATAATATTAAAATTCAATTCCAATAAATAAAATTCATAAAATTGAATAAAATAAAATATTTCAACATTTTCAAAATATAGACACATGTCACCCAAAATAAAGGCAAATTGGAATATATAAACATTACAACAAAAGGTGCAGTACAAATATGTTGATCCTCCAAGTGCCAAGTTTGAGATGCCTATCCAAAATATCTGAAAGAGAGAAGTTTGAGGGAGTGAACTAGGGAGCTCAGTGTATTCCAATAGTGCAGAAATAAAACATATAGTTTAGATTTTAAAATCAGTTTATCAATAAAGTCATGAAACGTCGATAGAGATTCCAAAAGCAGTTCAGTTCCAAATTGTGAAAACGTCAGTAGTGTTTTTAGCTTAAAAATACATAATCGCCCTCCAATCGTACACCATGTGCAATTCCCCATAACTTCATCCATAAGGACTTACCCTAGGCCCAAAGGGCGTAAATGTCAACCTAAGGGAGCACCTTAGGTCCATAAGGTCTTACACTAGCCGAAGCGTAGGTGACCACCGGAAGGATGTGCCCTCAGGCCCATAAGACTTACCCAATGCACATAGCAGAGGTGTCACCCTAAGGGAGTACCTTAGGGGCCATAAGGTTTTACCACCAGGCCCATAGGACCCAAGAGCCCACTCAAGGGTCGCCTTAGGTCTATAAGGAATTACCAGATCAATCGGTCTAAACCTATATAAGGAATTACCAATTTGGCCGAAGTTGAACCTACAGAGACTTCATACTAGATCCCAGAGTACCTTGAAGGAAAAAAATTCAGACAGTAACCAGTGATATCAGGAAATCAAAGTTCAAACAGATATCAATTTAGTAAAATCAGTAACCAGAGAACAAGAATCAGACAATCAGGCTTAAATTTTAGTAAATAAAAAATCATACTTTAAATAAAAAAAATATTCAAAAACAAGTCAAACAGATAGTCACATTGCAAATCAGAAAACAATCATGTGTACATGGTATTTCAAACATATATTTAAAAAACATATATGGTACACAAGAAACACACCTCGCAAAAAGAATCAGTCTGTTAGATCTACTGAGAACTGGCTTCACTACGCTCTTTAACGATACGAGAACCTAGGTCATATTAGAACAAGATGATAATCGGAGTAAATATATTAAACTGAATATTTATCAGGGTTACAGAACTATATGAGTATTCACGGGCTCTCGCGTATGAGAAAAACAGGAGGAACCATGTCAAGCAGGCAAACAGTCAGGAGATCCAAGAATACCTTAAATATTCGATAACATTAATTAGTCCTTGATCCTTCAGTAAAATTTGATGCACTGAAATAAATACTAAATTTACATATGCACATTCAGGTTTAACGGTCAATTCGAAGGATTTTGGGTTTGAATTTGGCAAAACAGACTTCGGATTCGGACTCAGGACGTTGAAAAACATAAAATATGACTTTTCATAAAATTTGACTTTTTAGTCAAAGTCAAAGTTAACGGGTCGGGTCAAAGTTAATGGGTCGGGTCAAAGTCAACGGGTTGGGTCAAAGTCAATGGGTCATGTTGACTCAATTCGGGTCAAACAGACCCGATTCAGGTCGGGTTGGCCGGTTCGGGCTGGTCCAGACCGACGGAACTGGTTCTAGAAAAAACCTGAGCTGGGGAACGAGCCCCACGTGCACTACCGGCGCATGGCGACGCGTGCGGCGACGATGGGGTCAGGTATGGAAGTCGATTACTCCACGTGAGACCAAACACACCAAACGACACAACACTGGGCAACGGGCTTAGTCGGGTTTTGATCAGAATCGCCTAAGGAGTGTAATGGTAGCCGGTGTGAATCTCACTGGCAGCTGGAGCAGCCGAATCGAGTCAAAAATACGGCGGCGGTGAAATAGGTTTTCCTCCCTCGATTACGACGATAAACAATCGAATCAGGGTCGCCAACAGTTGGGTGGAGGCCTTCGAATGATGATGATTCTGATGATGACGGTGGGGCACTACAATGGCGGTCGGAACGAGACGAATCGACGGTCGAAGGCTTGAGAACGAGATTTATTTTAGGGGAAATTTTGGGATTTTGGTTTGATTGGGTGATTCAATTTTGGGTATAAGACCCAAGTTAAAATAAATAAATAATATATTTATTAAAAATAAACATAAACAATATCCTAGTCTAATGGCTAAGGCATGGCTCCTTTTGCCTGTTGGTGTCCAAACTATGCCAACTACTCCTTAAATTCTTTTTATTCTCTTTGCAGGTAGATAAGGGACAAATCTCAGGTTTGGTCTCTGAACTTTCAAGGAAATTTGAAAACTGTCCTAAAGCTTTGGAAACTCACAAACTAGTCCCTAAAATTAATTAAATAAATAAATTTTAAAAAAATCCAATTAAGATTATTAATGCTAACCAAATATTTTTGGGGTGTGACAAGATATGTGTCCAAACTTATATATGTATGATTTATATAACTTATATGTAGATTCTATTCATATATGTATGAAAATGATTAATATGTGAAAAGGTAAATGATAAAATTATAATGGACTGCAATACCATAGAAGGATAATACTACTTCCCATTTTTGTCAAACCCTCTTCTCAAACTCCACGACAAGTGAGTAGATTTGTGCCACCCTACACGTTCCTAATTATGGAATATTTAGTTTCGATTCCTTAACACGTTGATAATATTATTCATAACTTTTTTTTAAGATTTCGAGACAGAAACACTAGAATATTTATCTTCGAGTTCCTTAACAAGTTGAGAAGATATCTCGGGATTTTGGTCGGCAGAAGATCTCTAAGCAACAACACTAGAATATTTATCTTTGAGCTCTTTGGTAAGTTGAGAAGCTAATTCGGGATTTTTATCTGCAGAAGATCTCCAAGCAGCAACATTGGAATATTTATCTTCGAGCTCCTTAACAAATTGAGAAGATAAGTTGGGATTTATTTCGGCAGAAGATCTCCAGGCAGCAACATTAGAATATTTATCTTCGAGCTCCTTAACAATCTGAGAAGATAATTCGGGATTTTGGTCAACGGAAGATCTCCAAGCAGCAACATTAGAGTATTTATCTTCGAGCTCTTGGACAAGTTTAGAAGATAAGTCGGGATTTATTTTGGGTAAAGATCTCCAAGCAGCAACATTGGAATATTTATCTTCGAGCTCCTTAATAAGTTGAGAAGATAATTCGGGGTTTTGGTCTACAGAAGATCTCCAAGCAGCAACATTAGAGAATTTATCTTCGAGCTCCTTAATAAGTTGAGAAGGTAATTCGGGATTTTGGTCGACAGAAGATCTCCAAGCAGCAACATTAGAATATGAATCTTGGAGCTCTTTGACAAGTTGAGGAAACTCTTTCACATCATCTCCTGTGGCATCATAAACATCCCATTGTTTTTGCCTCAAATCCTTGACAGCATATATCCCAGGGTCACACTGTATAAAGATTTTAAATAGTTAAGATTTAGAGTTAATTAGACGTAAAAGAGAGTTATACATAAAGTAAAAATTGGTTGAAAGAAATGAAACTGCAGACTATACCATCAATAGTAGAAGTTGAGAAGAAAGAAGCAAATAGGAATATGAAAGATTCATCTTCTTGCTTGCTTGCTTTTTCTTTTCAAAAGTTTGTTTTAGCTTTGGAAGGGCTTCGACGCCTTTCTTTATAGGCAAAAGAAAAGCCTTTCTTGTGGCTGTGGTTTGTTTAGAGTCAATTTTTGTCACCCTTGTATTATGTTTGAATTTTAGATTTAATCTTTATATTCTAAATTAATCACTTTTAGTCCTTATATTTTCTAAGTTTTGAAATTTTGGTTCTGAGCTAAAGAACAGAAAGACGAGTACGACTAGATTACAATAATTAAAAGTAATTAAATTTTAGAAAGATAAAACAAAAACTAAATAAAAATATTATAAGTAGGTTTGAACCACCAAAATAAATATTTAAACAATCCAATTAAGAATCTTATGATTTTATGAATTTCATAAAAATTTTGAATTTTTTTATAATTCCTGTAATTTTATAAATTAAACTGATAGCAGCCACTGTAGTTGGCATGGTCAAACATTCATTTATGGAGCTTAGAATGGAGAGTAGTTGGGGAATGGGCCATCAATATTACAATTTTCACAATAATTGTCTATTTCATCCTACAGGCGGCAGCCTCGACTAAGTAGTGGATTCTTCTTTTTATTCTTTTAATAGTTTTTATTCTTTTAATAATATGTAATTATTACAAAACATAATACGTTCAAAATCACTAAAAATGCACACAATTTATAGACATAGTCACTCAAATTTAAGATAAAACACACACAATATATAGACATGGCTACTCAAATTTAAAATATTTAAAAATAATAATACTCTTCTTAACCACTGTAATCACTTGATAGATTCAACTAGTGAGATCACTTGATAGATTCAACTAGGTATTGGACTTCTAGTTCAAATAAAGAAGTAAAATTACATGTTAATACAAACAAAATTTTTACAACGTCAAATTGATCTACACTGGTAATCATTGATTGATGGAAGGGCTTTTACATATTGAATTTAGGAAGTGAAATGAAGGGTGAAAACACCCTAGATTTTACGAAAACTCTTTCCTTAGACATTTCTCAAGTACACAGTTTTTCACGACATGTCAACTGGTTGTTGCCATACCATCACCAGATTTGGCCATCTACACATAAGAAAAGAGTTAATATTGTTTGTAATTAACAAAACACACATGGCTACAGAGTTGTTCTGTCCAGGAAATTATCAGCCATTAATTTATAAACTTCAAACTGCAGAATTTATTATTTATATATAGTATGTAATTCAACTGATCCAGGAACATGATCTTCCATCGCACCATCTCATTTGCCTGCAGGAACATGAAAAATTCATATCAGATTCATCTTCATTCAATTGTCAACCTTTTTAGCACACACTCAATTTGCCAGAAACATCAACTACAACTCACTAGTCATGAAAACAAAATTCTATCACTAGATTGATTCAAATGGCTCAGTTATTAAATAAATAGCACAAAGAAATTTGAAGCGAGTTCTATTCTTTTACTATCAAAAACATTTTCGTTTCGTTTTTTTACTCTTTTCACATTTTCACTTGCATATTTGTACATGGAGAAAACAAAGAGTGCAAGTTAAATGGTAATCTACTTACCATAGTTTTGCTGCACCGTTGTGAATCTGTAAATTGCCTTAATTAGTGACCCATATTTCATAGACTTCAAAGGTCCCATGTGTCTGTAGAAAAGAGCAATATAAAAATTTAACTCAGTGCATGGAAGAAGGATTTGTTCACACAAAAAAGGGTCTAAAGTTATGCAAGTACAGTAGCTTTCAGCTCTTAACAAAGTAGAATCTACACAGACACTGCATCCACAGTAAGTACGCAGGACAAGAAGAAAATAAATACTTCTAAGACAACTTATCGTGCATAGGAAAAGAAAAATAAAGAAAATGTCAAAAATTTCATAGCAATTACAAATTTCCTTGGTGCTTATTGTAGTTTTCCCTTACAATAGCAAACAGAAAATGAAAACAGGAAGCTACGCATGAATTATCCCTTGGTGTGTGCAGCAAAAAACAATATCTTCCAGATTTACTTTTGTTCATTTTTTTTCCTTCTTTTTTTCCTTCTATAAAAAATGGTGTACTGAAGAATAGACCATCTAAGAAGTTGTAAATTCTTTCAGTCGAAGTCCTAAATAAGCATCCTTGGCAGATAAGAAAACAAGGAACTTTCCTTGATTCCAAAGAATTTAGGTCAAGACTCAATAATACTCACTGGATCTCAGTATATCGCATTCTCCATGCAGGGAAACCTAAGTGGCACCTGGCAGGTCCATATATTAATATTAAATCAGGTTCTGGCCCTCCACTGCCTAATAGAAAAGAAGATTACCAAACGTCAAATTAACAGAGAAAACAAAACTGGTTGTAATAACTACCAAGTAGATCATCAGAAAAGTAACACAAACCAACAGTTTTGAGTGCCTCGCTCATTTGAGATTCAGAGAAGATTTGCTCTCCCTGATTTGAGCCAGTGGCACCTGATTTTATGTACTCCTTAAGAAGTACATTGGCTGCTCTTGCGACCGCTTCTTTCCCATCAGAATATGATACAAACTCCAGAGTCATACATGGTTGGTCTAGTAGCATGTTATCTTCTTGAGTATCCTGCACAAAATAGATCAAAATTTTGCTAGTAGTTTAGAACTTTAGGAAACATTCCATTCGAATCAAATCGCAAATAATCCAATGACATAATACATAATGGGAGCCAGGCCAGGCATATGGTGCATTAAGTAAGCTCCTTAAACTAAGGTTATGAGAAAGAAATCAAATAAATAGTCCAAAGAGTACAACAAGCAGTCAAGGACGAAACAAGTATAAATCTTACCAATTTGTATCATACTGTTAATAGAATTTTAAGGTTTACAGACTGTAAAGCTAATCTTCAGCTACAATATTTTGGTAGCTTAGTACCATAAAGAACCTTATTATGAAAGATCAATTCGATGCTGCACCGCAGGACAGTTTGGTTTTCAAATGATCAGCCATCCATCCAATTTATATAGAATATATTATTGAGTCGTAGTGAGCTATGAAAAACTCCTAATCTGACCATGACCAGAGAGGATAGTACCTGAAACAATATTACACCATCAAATTTATCCAAGATTAAGTCTTTTGATTTCTTCAGTATTCCTACAACAGAAACATGGAATCATATACTACAAAATGCAGATACATCTTCACCTGATCAATCTAGCAACAGAGAGAATCCAGAAATCTCACCTTCGTTATCATAAAGGCAAATATGGTTGATACCAAGAGCTACTACCCATTGCAAAAGCTGAATAACATTTGAAGTTCGGCAAGCATCTTCACTTTCTATCACAATAGCCAGATAGTTGATCTTGGATATATAGAGAGACTTGTATTTCCTCAGTAATCCTCGAGAGATAAGATGGCTTTCAAGCGCATGCACCATGCCCATCGTAAAGTAGCATAAGTAGATAACAGCATGTACGAGATGCCATGATAATCGAAGTAGAATATTTCCAATCTGCACCAAACCTTAAACTCAAAATGAAAATCTAATATAACTCAAGGACATAAAATTCAGTCAGCACATAACCGTGAAAATTAGACACGGAAATCATCACTAGTAAGCTTCAAAGTCAATTGTTAAACCATTGCATAAGAGGAAAAAAAAGAATATGCAGTTAATATGTATCCAACAAAAAATGGTTTACAAATCAAAGCGTTGGAGTTTGAACTAGTAGGAAGTATGGGTACTCGACAATCCATGCGTAATCTTTTCTATATCAACTATTCGCTGAAAATAAAATAGTAATGCTAGTAAAAAGATTAAAAAAAACATAAGTAATTACGTACTTTATCAGTCCAGAATTGCAACTTCCGCTTTTGTCTTGAGAAATCCATTGATCTCTGTGAGCAAAGAAAGTAAAAACCCAATTAGTGATTAAAAAAACATAAATTGGTTGATATGAATTGGTTACAAAAATAGTTTGAGAAAGTGGGAATCGGCCTCTTACATTTAAACATAAGCAAGCTTCGATCTTCCAGCAAAAGGAATTCGAGAATTGGGGAACCCTAAAAGCAAAATCAACAGGTAAAAAAGCTAACTTTTTGGAGATTGAAAAGAGGATGGAAATTAGAGAGAAAGCAGCTTCAAAACGTGACTCGCTAGTGAAGAGAACGTGTGAATGACTGAACTGAAAGAAAAACACCGTTTTTGCGTTTTTTTTTTGGGGAAACAACGCTATTGATTAAGTTTTTCTTTTTCTCATCTAATTATAAAATAGAATAAATATAATTTTCAATACCTAATTTTGATATTTATGAGCAAGGTGATATCCAATTTTTTAGTGCATTTTAATTATTTTTATTCTTTTTAGTTATCGGATTTGAATATCATAAATGTTAAACATGTGAACGTTTAATGTTAAATGATTAAGAATTATCTTTAAATAGATACTACATGTACTTATCCAAATTAATTAAAAAATATTTGATTAGCATATATGTTAATTGTGTTTAATTTACCTACTTAAAAGCATATGTGTTACATATTCAAAACTTGGTAATTAACATTTTAATCATGGAGTTGAATATATTATGTGGGAGTTAGAGATTATGCAAGGTTAATTTAAGCATATCTTTAATTCATGTAAATCTTGAAGACGTAATTTTATTTAAGATGTAGAACTATAATGGTCTAAAATATTGAGTTAGGGTCATTTTGGCATTGCTGTGGAGAAATATTTTTTATTAAAAATTACGTTTTGAAAGAAGCTGTACCAAATGAGTAAGGGTGTGTTTGGCTCGTGGAATCTTACATTATCAAGGGGAATGTTTTTCTCCGGAATTGTATTCCCACGTTTGGTTCATGTAATCTTATATTACCGAGAATATTTTTTCCCAACAGTAGTATTTTTTGGTTAAAATGGTGGGACTGTCATTACCTCTAAATTCTTAGGTAATCTTACATTCCCACCACTTTGGACAAGAATACCTTTAGACTAATGAATTCTTTTTATAATGAACTTCCTAAATTCTTATTTTTTATACT